ACTCTTGCTCAGGCTGGTTTCGAACTCCTGAGCTCAAACAGTCCGTCTGCCTCGGCCTCCCAGAGTGCTAGGATTACCATAACATTGATTTTGTAGTAAAAGATTAACATCTAGGTTATAGTCTTTTCCTTAAAATGGGTTTTCCTCTGGATCAGAAATTCAAGGACAGGGTAGAAAATAGAGTAACGATTAGCTACTTCCAGTAGAACAATAGCTTGAAAAGGGAAGAAAATATATTCTCTTTATGTAAACCACATTTTAAAAATGTAGTTTAAAATGTTCATAGTATTTCTAAGTTTTTGACCTAAAAATGATCCATATTTATATTTTTGGGTAACCCGTTCAATTTAGAATGAGTTTTATTTCCCCCTAGGATATGGAAATTATTTTTTATTAATGTCATTTTTTCTTGATTTCTCAGAAGATTTTCTATAACTATTTTTTACATAAAATATAAACTATAATATTAAGATATCGTCTGTAGATGGCACTAGAGATTTGCTTTTCAGTGCTCTCAGGTTTGAGACATTTCAAAATAAACTTGAAATGAGCCATAATGAAATAATTGCTTGATAAATTTGATGACCATAAAACCATTCTACCCTAATTAAATCAAATAAAAATTTGGAAATACCATAATATATGCTTTATAGTTTGACTTTTAGATTTGCATTTGGGACAAAAGCATAGTCTTTAGACTTTTAAGTCTTGTCTCACTGAAACTAACCTAGACTTGTTTTGAAGAAATCTAATATAGCTTGATTATGGAAGTAAAGGGAAATCATTAGCTTTCCATGAATATTTCAAAAGCATTCATATTAGACAGCTACTTTCAAGAAATAGCAGTTCCTGTAACTTTGCAGCCTGAAATGAAAGACCAAGCACTTGTGTTGTTCAAACTTTTTTTTTTCCCCTGTTGGCTGGAATGTCTATATCATTGAAACATAAGCACATCAAAAATCTCAAACCTAGACAAGACTATTTCTGCCTTGCAAACATACTATTGTTTGAAAGTTTTCTCATGAACCCAAAACATTGTTTATTATTTTTGTTTTTAAAACCAAATGAATCATTGGGGAGATGAGGACTTCACCTGATAAAGGTAGCACAGGCATTACCAGTGAGAATAAAGAATGATGAATTAAAGATAGGAAGAAGTCAAGTTTCCTTAAGCACAGCTGTGATGTGGAAGGAAATGCCATAATTGAAGAACGGGGTATTTGACATGACTTTTAAAACACTCTGTAAAGGATTGAAACTCATTGCTCTAATTTTTATATTTCCAACATTAAAATAGAACCTCTTGTATATTTTGAGTTGGCCCTGTCACCCAGTGTATTACCTTTAACTTTTTAAAAGGAGTTCAACACTGTTGTTGGTGCTGCTATCATCAAAATCAGTAGCACGAAGTCTTTAAATCATTAAAGAACATACCTAAATCCTTCTAAGTCTTTCAAACGTATCATGAATTGCTACCCTGAGAAGGAAAAAGGAAAATTTTAAGGATGATTATTTGAAGTGAGCATTTTAGCTTTCCTAACAATGGGTTAAAAAGTATGTAAAATATAATTTCTCCCTGAAATTGCTGTTTACTTATTTGCCATTTTATTCAAAAGTAATTACAGATATTCTTTGCTTTCATCCCCTGCCCCTGGCCTATTCCTTCCGAAAATTCTTTTTAAACTAGAAAAATGGAAGCTTTTTCTAGAGTCATAAATCTCATGTGCCTGGACTTTTCCTATGGGTTAGTGAAGTAATTTCTTAGCTAAAATGCAGTAAAGGAAAAACATTTATAAGAAAATTGGGAATTTAAAAAAATACAACCTGCATACGAATTATCTTTGTGTTAAGACAAAATATTGATCTTCATTTGGGAAAACAAGTTTATCTAAACACATGGTCATTGGCAAGGAAATCCACACTGAGAAGTACGTAAAAAGATTTTTTTAGCTGAATCATTGTGGTACCATGAATCAGAATATATTGAGCTAAAGTTAACATAGTTAGGATGGTTAATAAATAGTTTGAGAGGCTTCATTTTGTTAGTTTTTGAACTACATTTTTGTTACTTTTATTGGTATTCTTTTTGTCATTTAAAAGGATTTGTTGGATAAACAATTCTTACCAATTTTATATGTGATTTCAGATCTGTGATAATGTAGCTGTAACTTTGATGCATTGTGTGTAATCAGATTATCTCAGAAATCATACCACCCTCCGCATTCCGCATTGTTGATCTATACTTTGTTTTGTGTAGTTTTCTATACTGACAAATGTCAGTTGTCCTTTATTTTCTTCCTGATGGTTGCCCCCCACCCCCAGTATTTTCTCATTCATACCAGACAGGAAACATTCAAAGTTTAAACGTTTCATTTTCATAGAATATTCTTTTCTTTGAGAACTTGCTCCTTGTTGACCTTATGGAATGGGTAAAGATGGAAAACATGCAAAGTATCAGAAAACCAAATATTGAAAATTTAGGCTCACTTTTGACAATTTAAAAAAAATGAAATTTGTTTTGTTTTTTTTCCAGGTTTATGGTTGGCTGTGGGAGATGTGATGACTGGTTTCATGGTGATTGTGTTGGGTTAAGTCTTTCTCAAGCACAGCAGATGGGAGAGGAAGACAAAGAATATGTCTGTGTAAAATGCTGTGCTGAAGAAGATAAAAAGACAGAAATATTAGATCCAGATATTTTGGAAAATCAAGCCACAGTTGAAGTCCATAGTGAAGATAAAACAATGGAATGTGAAAAGCTTGGGTTATCGAAACATACAACAAATGACAAAAGCAAATATATAGATGATACAGGGAAGCACAAGGTCAAAATTTTAAAACGGGTGAGCTTTCCATTAATGCATTATTTTGTTATTTGAGAACTTTAAATGAACTGACCATGAGAATTTTGAAATTTCTCCTTAGGTTTTAATGTTCCATTGTACATTTTCAAATTTATTTTTCCTTAAAAATCAGTAGATTCTTATTTAAGATTTTTTTGGCTATCTTGGTGAAACCAAGTAGTCACTTCTTCATAATATGCAGGTCTTATCTCTTACAGTCTTGTGCTATTTCTAGTCTCTTGTTTGGTAGTTGAGTTTTCTGTTTTGGGATATGTCTGTGATCTGTGGTCTTAAGTGTAAATTGTGCTTGCTAAGTTTTTTAAAAAGTCTTTTCAGTACATAATTATCTCCAAATCCTTTAACCATTTAGCATTATTATTTTCAAGTGGAAGAATTATAATATTTTTCTCTGTAAGGAAAAGTGATTCTTTTAACTTTGTCTCATTTGCTCAGAACTCTCACCTCATTATTTTTCTCTTAAAATGTGGACTCTTAAAAAGTTGTCAGTTTTTCCTGGTTTTGTATTTTTGACTACATTCTGAAAGTATCTTCTAAATAGAATTTTCAAGATATTTAGTCTTTAACAGGAGAAATACATAAAGGACACGGCATTTTATCAGATTAATTTTTTCTAATCCTCATTGTCTACCTTTTCATTACCTATGACTTTTCTAATCTTTGATTGGTTATTCTTACAGAATACTGCTAGAGAGGAAACACTCTAGCAACAAATGTATGTGGATAGGCAAGTATAATAATACAAAAAACAAAGAACATGAATTTTAGAGGTGGGAGCAATCTTAGAAATCTTTTAGTCTAACCATTCTGATTTACTAATATGTTCTAAATATTTCTAGGAAGTGATGATAAAATTTCTATTTGAAAACCATTGCAAAGGAATACATCTTTATTTTAAACAGCTATAATTGTTAGAAAGTTCTTGAGTTTCAGTTGAACTTTGCATTCCTGAAAACTTTTTAGTTTTCTGAAACCTCCCTATTAAAGCTAATTTTTCTAAACATTGTATGGAAGGTAATTCAGATTGAAGAGCATAAGCATGTTTTCTCCAAAATCTTTCCCACTGTTTATAAACTCAGTGCTTTCACATATTCTTTGTATAGCAAATCTGGATTGAGTTCCAGTTTGCCAAATCCTTGTGGCATCTGATTGTTTTTTGTCTGCTAAGACTTTTTGAAAATCAGATTCTGTCTGATATTTGCTATTACTTGGTTGATTTGATGAGCATCACAGTCACTGATAGCCGAGAGCCACCATTAAGAATAGTGTATAGCATGTCTTTAGAAAGCTTCTATTACTATTAATCATCACCTCTTGTGTACAGCTACTTGGCAGTTTAGAAATATAGCTTGTTGTATTGTCATTTAGCTGAGTTGTCTCCATCTTGCTTAAAAAGACATTATAAAATATTAACATTTTTAATGTTTCAAAAAACTCCTCTATCCAGTCTCTTTGTCAGAAAAGGAACTGAGATTAGTCTGATTTTATAAATACATGCACCATCCCAAAGGATCACTGCTTCCTTTTTTTTTTTTTGGTGTGAACCATTGAATCTTATTTGGGCTTCTCTGATGTTAGTTTATGGAATTTGCTTTTCAAATGTCACTTCTTATGCCTAGATTTTAATGTTGGACTATTTACTGAGTTTCTATTGTGTGCCAAGCATAGTACTACCAGCCTTGGGTATATAACATTGAAATACGTCCCTGTTCTCAAGTCTAGTTGGGGAGGTAAGGAAAAAAAATAGACAAGCTAATAAAAGATTAGAGGATTCCTACTCCAGAGAAATTCATTTTTTGGTATGTACTTTATCTTAAAACCTATGATTATATGTCTGTACACAGTGTTCCTTTCCCATTAGTGTGATATGATTAATTTCTTCCAAGGGTCTCAGAATTCCACTTTGACTAGGGATTCTTTATGGGATATGATTAGGACCAGAGTCACAAGTCCCCTAATGATTAATTCTACCTCATGGGAGTTAAAATTGCCAATAGGCACACCAAGAACTTAATTGATACACTTATAAATGAATGTGACTTCATTTGTTCTAGAAATACAGTGAAAAATATAAATATTTTCTCCACAATTTCTTCCTTCTTTTTCCATATCCTCAGCCAGCTGAGAGAACTCTTACTACTTTATATCTATTTTTCTTTCTAATACGTTATTTTTTTTTCTTTTTGATTCAATCTTTAGGATATAATACGTTATTGAGAACATGATCTCTGTGTCCTTTGTTTCTCCCTTATCGGTTGTTATGTGTTCTGCACAAAATAGGTGCTTTAAAATTGGATTTTGAATGAAAGGGTGAATCTCATTTTTCCAATAATTGAAAGCTATTTCTGTACATCTTAAAATATTTAAACATTTACTGGGCTAAAGAATGGAGTATGTTTGATATCTTAA